TATAAAAGAGTCACAAGATATCCTACAGATATGGCCTCAAGAAAGAAATACTGCACTTATTTTAAAAAATAAAAATAAAAAAACTCCAACTGCCTCTAAATTCTTTCCTTGTAGAAATAACTAAAAAGTCAAGTGTCATTTTTCTCAGATGGCCAGTACCTTTTTTGCAGATAGCTCAGCAGGAATTTACCTAAAGGCCATGATCCCAATAAAATTTGAAAGGAACCTATAGACTTCTATGATATTCAAAGACAAAAGGTTACCTACGTGAGATTGGAAATTTGCATCCATCTCTCAGCAACCTGTTTTGTTCATTCAAAATTAATTTGAAAATCATCTCCTAGAGTAGTGACGAAAAATGGTAAGTGATCAATAATTAGTGCAAGTCCCACACACGAATGAAGATATTATCTCTGAAGTAAGCAAAAAGCTTTTTAAGGTGAACATCTAAACCAGGTGAATATTTTTATTTGAATGTGAAAGAAGGATCTTTTGCTTCCCTACTCCCTTCTCCTGAAATTCGCTCATTTATATCAATAAAGAATTCAATAATGCAGTATTGATGTATTAACCATTTTCAAACTGCAGTTAGGTTTTACAGACTTCTAAAATTTTTCTGTTCAACGAGATTGCAAGTGTTTTAATACTTTTGAAAAAAAGTAGAAAGTACAGTGTTCTTGTCAGTGAATCAATCATTCACTGATTCATATTGGCATATAACTCTTCATTAAGGTGTAGGTACCAGAACAGGACCAAGGAAAGAACAGTAGTCACACCTGCTGACACTAATAATTCTAGCTTTCGGGATCTGGTAGCCTCCTACGGGCCAAGCAATGAGCAAGATGCTTTTTACATGTGGTCTCATTAATTCTCATCACAATAACCTTCAGAAGTGTGTTGTTGTCATGACTCTGGGGTAAAAATGGCAGCAATTTTTTCTGGCTACATTCCAAAAAGAGGTTTTAGCCATCCAATTGTTCATCAGTGTAACACCAATTGTTCACCAGTGTAATAGCTAACTTTATTTCTAATAGTTTGTTTATAGCACCAAGCAGTCTATACTTCAATGGCAGCAATTTTTTCTGGCTACATTCCAAAAAGAGGTTTTAGCCATCCAATTGTTCATCAATGTAACACCAATTGTTCACCAGTGTAATAGCTAACTTTATTTCTAATAGTTTGTTTATAGCACCAAGCAGTCTATACTTCCCGTATTTCAAACCCACAGGTTTACCCTAACTGCAGTAACTCTTTGCACTATGTGAGCAAAGACTGCCATCTTGTGGAAATTGCAAAAATATTATCATTCCATGGAACCAAAAGTTTCTTTGCACTCATTAAGAATTTTGCAAGTGGATTCTTGCATTGTTACACATACACACGTACACACACACATCATTGTTGCTTATAACTAACAGGTAAAACTTCCCTTTAAGGGTGTTTTTAAGTCTCATTTTAAAAGCCCAGTGCCTCATGAAGATTTGAAAAGACAACACAACTCTGTTTATTATAAGAATTCATCCTCTCTGTCTTTAAGCCAGTGCATTACGTTTTACTAAACTTGCTTTACCCAATCCTTAAACAGGGTTTTTGTTAAATAATAAAGAGGAGGGTGTGGTGAGACCTTTCTGATGGAATTTCCAGGAGCATTAGATTTTGTGGCAAGATTTTATGACAGAACTCTGGGCTTAGAGAACACTTTCATTCCCTTCCAACACTTTTATCCCAAACCAGCCTGGATTCCTGGAATCTGTTGTGGGCTAGGCAGAGCTTCACAGGGATCCACTGGTCCCATTTCTGTATATATCGCCAAAGAGGGGGTCTCCTGCAATGCCTGACCTGTGCTTCAGTGACCATGAAATCAACCGGATGAAGAGATCTTTGTGGCATGGTGATACTTGAAGGCATCTAGAGAAGACCCTTCCCTTTTTCCTCTCAGCAAACTCCTATCACCCAGCTGGCTGAACCTAAAAATTATGTAATTAAACAAACACTTTGGATTTAAGACCTTTAATTTCTACTAGAATTGAAATGGGCTATGTATAATAGGTATATTTTAATAATTATTTTTAAAGCTAAAATACTCTCCAGGTTTAGGAAAAAAATAAAGAGACAGAATAAGTGAATGAAAATGGGGGTCCCAGAAACCAACAGGTAAAAGAGTAGGCGTTAATAAGTTCCTGAATCAATGAAAGAATTAGTGAACATAAACTGAGGACATTAAAAAGCAAAACAAAATGGTTTCACAGTGTTGCCCAGGCTATTCTGGCTGAATGTGCAGTTGTAGTTTAGAACACGTTTTGTCCCCAAGAAGATGCCTGGCATAAAGTCACTCTTTAAATACTTATTGAATGGACAGATGAATAAGGAGGCAATGGAATAACCTAGCAAATAGCATCAATGATAAGAAAAAAAGAGTAGGATCTGAAGGCAGGTTCATTTCCCAGAACTGGTGTTGAGCATCAATAAATATGCACCTGCTCTGCATTAGGCAATATGGAGGGTGGAGAGCTTGCATTCTAGAAAGGGGAACGGACAGTAATTGAGTGACCGCAGCAATTATATTTTTTATTATTATGGTAAGAACACTCCACATTAGATCTACCTATTAATAATTTTGTAAATGTAATATGGTACTGTTAACTATATAACTATAATGTTGTAGAGCAAATCTCCAGAATTTGTTCATCTGTATAACTGAAACCTTATACCTCTTGATTAGCAATGCCAACATCATTTAAATGATATTCATGAATAGGCCAAGTAAGTAACTCTGATGCTATGATTATGTATTTGTATGACAGCTAACACAGTTCTGGGAATTCCCACAAGTAGTTGCTTCTGTGGATCAAGGCATTATTTCTCAACTGTATTACTCAAACCCTAGCTCCATGGGTTATGAATATATGTCACTTGGGAAGAAAAATGAGGGAAGGAGAATGAAAGTCAGATAAGTTTGGGAAATGCTGAGTTAAAACTCATACAGGTTTTTTCTGCAGGCCTGAGCAAGCTGACATCTTTGTAAATTTCCAAGAGGATATTTCTCAAAGTTAATGACTTCAAGACCCTTTTCTCACAGAGGCCCTCTAGGTATTATTTTTCTGTGGAATATACTTTTGGAAATTCTGGAAATGAAAAGACTTTGTCTGGGACAGAGGCCGAAATGAGAGTGACATATAACCCATTGATATTCATAGTCATTTAGTAAATTTAACTAGCCAGTTAACTGCCCTTTTAGAGCAACACTCTATGGAAACAGAACATTAGATCAGCTTCATAAGCAGTGAGGAGAGAAGACCAGGCTGTGGGGAGGCTCCTGTGCAGTGTCCATCGTGGAGTGCTAGCGCGGGACACTGGGGCTGTGGCTGTGGGAATATCCACGGGAGGTGACAGGGCTGAGAGACCAACTCTCCGTCACAGCCCCCAAGACCGGTCTCACTCTTGTTTAATTCTGGTTGAACGTTGATCCCACCCCCAATACACAAAATCTTCTTCCCTTTACAATTTTTCTCATTCTTCCAGCCATGTGGATGACATAAAACAGGTAAAAAGGTAAAATGTCACCAAAAATGAGTAATTTTCCCCTTCTATATTGGCATAGTTCCTTTCTCTAAAGTTTTAAACAGTCTTGCCCCAAATAATCCAAGACCCAGGGCAAGAGTACAAATGCAAATAATTTTTACATATCTTAAATCTAGCTATGTAAAAATTATAAATCAAGCTAAAAACTGCTAGACAAAGTATATTCTATCTTCATCCTGACAAATGAACCTTCATGACCCCTAGGGGGTCAGGTTCACATTTCTAATTTGTGACTAGCCGGGAGGTCTGCACTGACCTGGGTGTACAGGGACCCCTCTGAGCCCCTCTCTTGCCACCTCCAGCAGTGTCCTGCATGGTGAAGGGTCTTCCACACAAAGGTGTGTGCTTCTGAGTTTGCACATCTGAGCTCTGCCACATTCTCTCCAAACACCATCTATAGACCTATGGTGCACCCTGGCTGTAAGATCTGCTGCCAGGAAGATATCCGTGGAATAAGCCTCATGGTCCCTGGAAGAGCAGTGAGCTGGCCAGGAAATTCCAGGGAACCCTGAGGATGGTGCACATCTGGACAGGCACACAGCCTTGGTCTGACCTCTCTTGCCCCGTGAGAAGGGACACAGCTGGCAGAGGGCCAGAGCTAGGCAGGTTTCAGGTAAAGTCAAAGGCATACTTGGCACTGAGAATAATTCCTCTATGAAAATCACTCTCTAAAAAGCTGCAGTGTTTGCAGCCACCCCTAGACTAAGGGGGTGGAGGAGGCAGAAGAAGAAGGGTGTTTCTTATGTGAATTTAAGTACTTCTGAAAGCCTCTGGTCAACTTTTCTTCTTGTTCTCCAAGGTAAGATTACTTCCCCCTTGGCATTAAAAGGAAAACTAGATCAGTGTGTAAAAGACCAAAAACAATGCATTTTATCAACTTCAAACTTGTCCCAAGGCTTTCTCCCATACTGTGTTAAATAATAGAAGTCTTTATAATTGAATTTCTTTGTGTGTAGCATATGCTGGGCGACATTATGCCAGTATCTTGCTCTAAGCAGCAAAATGTTCTCATAAAAGCATTAAGATCCAGAGTATCACTCAATGTATAGAGAAAAACAGAACTGCAGCAGCGTGAAACCACATGAAAATAGTGCCTCTGAAATGTCATTGTAAACCACACTGCACCGAACCAGGGGGAAATATTTAGAATTATAGAATGATACCAAAAATATAAGAAGATGATGAAGGAAGGAAAAGAGGGAGGTAGGAAGGAGGGACAGATGGAGAGAGAGAAGAGAGCACTGTGGTACAACTGTGCCTGTGGAATCAAAGCAACGTTTTTAGTTTGCTAGCATTCCAGATACAAGCCGATCTGTATGTTCATTTCCTCTTGACAGCAACCGTCTTTAGAGGTGGGATTAGAATTGGATGTGTTGCGCACCAAGGCAATAGCTATGTCTGCAATAACACGCAGTTGTGTTCTTTACCCCAAGAATCCTGGAGCTTCAGCAGAATGGTGACATGGACATCCTGAAGCACAAATGGTGGCCTAAGAATGGCCAGTGTGACCTGTACTCGTCAGTGGACACAAAGCAAAAAGGAGGCGCCCTGGACATAAAGAGCTTTGCAGGGGTGTTTTGCATCCTGGCTGCTGGGATTGTCCTCTCCTGCTTCATTGCCATGCTGGAGACGTGGTGGAACAAGAGGAAAGGCTCCCGGGTCCCATCGAAAGAGGTACTTGCTAGAGAGCTTTGGCTCTAAGTTGATCCAACTAGCAGGCCATGTTTCGAGGAGGGATGATCACAGGAAAGAGGCTAATGGGTTGGGGGTGGTTATTGTTTCTTCTTTCTTTGAAGATTAAAAATAAAGTTGTGAAATGTAAAAATTGATAAGACCAATACCAATTTCCATTTTAAGTTTGAAAGATGTTTGAAAGACTGACAATTTCATGGGCTTTGAAATTCTCCCAATTCTCAGGATACACATTAACTCAATTATCTTTAAGCCATAATTCTTTTGACTAGTTCACAAAGATGCATACCATTTTATTTCAATTAGTTGTGTAACTTGTAGGTAAATTACTCGTGTCTCTAAGACTGGTCCTAAAAAATGCAATGCTACAGTAAAAAGAATCAGAATTTTCTCTTTGGCACTAGTGACTGCTTCCCTCTATATACATGTAGATCTATAGAAGTAATCATATGTGTTTGTCTCTTTGACTGCCCCAAGCTTACCAAATCCACGTTGTGGATTCTTCTTTACTCTTGAGTCAGCTTAACTCCAGGGCTATATTATATTTTTCCTAGATATCTGAAAGAACAACTGCAGAACCACACATAATATCTCTTTTTAAGTGGCATGTGCCTTGTCTTCATTATAAATAATGGGATTTATAAATTATCAAAGAAAATCTGAAGTTAAAATAAGCTACTTGATTTATTTATCTTATTTGCACTGGATCAAAAGGGTGAAATTTTTTTAAATAATGAAATTATAATCACTAAAACTTCACAAATGAAAATGAAAAACAATCTGAATTTGCTAAATGATTTGATTTGATGGATAGATAGTTTCAAAGGAAGTTTTAAACTTTCTGTAACTAGAATTTGCCCAACTAACTGATGCCCAGTGCAAATCCAGAAAGGATCTGCTCTAATGCACAAATTCTCATTTGCATATGAATTTTTGCATATTAATGTATTCTTCCAAAAAGATTGTTTTCTAAAGTAGTCTAAGGATTTCTTCCTAACACTTCATAAGCAAAATTGATCAGCACCATTTATAAGGAAAAACTTGGCTTAGTAAAGTTCAATCTTAGCTTCCTACCTATGTGAATGATCATATATTCTAAATTAGTGGATAATGAATTAAAAATTAATCAGGTTTTATTGTAGTGCTTTCTTTGTGGAATAAGCTTCTGGTATCTCTGTTGACATTGATTCAATGCAAAAAATGATATTAATGCAGTATTACAGTCAAGGCATCATATTATCAAAAATCTGGAAATTAAGGACTTCCCAAGTGCCTTATATTTTGAATTACTATATATTATATTAAATTTTTACATTATTATGTCTATTGATGGATGACTACATTACAGTTGCTGTGGGAACCATAAAATTATATGTCTTAACCCTCTAATGTCTCAGTGATAATATTGCATTAATGGATATTTTTATGGGATTTTGAAATGAGACAGGAGATGAAAAAACAGTAATGCACATCAAAATATTTTTCACTGAGGAACACTATATAATAGCACAATGTAAAAAATGCATACTCTATTCTAACTCAAGATGGCTAATCCAGATCTTATAAACAAATATTTTCTTCTCTTATGATTAATATATATTTTTAAATCCTCATAAGGAGATGAAAAAACAGTAATGCACATCAAAATATTTTTCACTGAGGAACACTATATAATAGTACAATGTAAAAAATGCATACTCTATTCTAACTCAAGACGGCTAATCCAGATCTTATAAACAAATATTTTCTTCTCTTATGATTAATATATATTTTTAAATCCTCATAAATATAATTTATTGAGCTTGACTATAAATAAGACTGATAGCAAGGACAATTTTATTTCTTGCTAGTTTTATTTTTCAAATATTAGACTTTAATACTCACCTTTAGTGAAACTCTAAAGGGATTTATAAATTGGTTTTAACTCCAGAAATCTGAGGTTTTACTTTTTTTTTTTTTAATTAAGTGCTTTCTTACCAAGATGCCATTAGCATACCTTAGAGTGTCTTTGGGTCTTTGGTTTAGAGGCCATTTAGCATAAAGCTGGCCCTAAACTAAAGCTATCACTCACATGTCCTGACTTGAAAGGGTCTCTAAATATCCCACTGATCTCACAACATTGCCTGATTCTGGTGCTAGATACCTTGAGTACATGAAATCTCACAATTAGAAATTGATTCTCTTATGTTGAGTGTTACTCTTTCTAAACAATCTCACATATCTCTGGCATACAAAAATATAACACTTTAACAGTCACTAACACTTTAGTATGAAATCTCATATTATATTATTTTCCTCTAAGAATGGACTGCTTAGAAATTGATTCTCTTATGTTGAGTGTTACTCTTTCTAAACAATCTCACATATCTCTGGCGTACAAAAATATAACACTTTAACAGTCACTAACACTTTAGTATGAAATCTCATATTATATTATTTTCCTCTAAGAATGGACTGTTAAGTTTAGGAGTAAGTGTTTGAAGGGAACAAAAACCCAATTTGGAAGGAGACACCCTGGAAAAGGAGGAAGCATGTGTAAAGAAGGGGTGGGAGGGAGGGAGTTGCCAAAACTGTACCTTTTATTGGTACAATTTTGCCTGGACCTCTCTCTTACAGAATAGCAGTCACACATCTACTGCTCCCATATCTTTGTAGTTGCATGTGGCGTATGCTCATTTTAGAACTTTTACTGCAAGAAAAATATTTATTGTAGATAATCTTATCTCAGAATCATATTGGTACCCCCAAAACCTAGCACAGTGCCTGGCTCATATTAGGTGCTCAATAAATATTTGTTTAATGAATAGACCCCAAAGTTCAGTTAATTACATGTTTGCTGAACTACTTTTTTTTTTTTTTAACCATGGAAGCTAGTACTGATGAGAACCTTATCTTCTTTTTCTTCATCTCCAGGATGACAAGGAAATTGACCTGGAGCACCTCCATAGACGTGTAAATAGCTTGTGCACAGATGACGACAGCCCCCATAAACAGTTTTCCACCTCGTCAATTGACTTGACCCCTCTGGACATTGACACTTTGCCAACACGACAAGCACTGGAGCAGATCAGTGATTTCAGGAACACTCATATTACCACAACAACCTTTATCCCAGAGCAGATCCAGACTCTTAGTCGCACACTGTCAGCTAAAGCTGCCTCTGGCTTCACTTTTGGCAACGTGCCTGAGCACCGAACTGGCCCTTTTAGGCACAGGGCACCTAATGGGGGCTTTTTCAGGAGTCCCATAAAAACAATGTCATCTATTCCTTATCAACCAACTCCTACCCTGGGGCTCAATCTGGGTAATGATCCAGACCGAGGCACCTCCATATGAGCATCAAACAAAATCTCTTCACTGTTTCTTTTTTAGGACTCCCTTTGCAAGGAGCAACTGTAATATTGTGGGACTAACATGGATGTAACTTAAAAAAAAATCAGGATTATTAGTAACAATTCTAGTTATTTCTCCCCACCTTCTCCCTCCTCTCTCTCCTCTATTTCTTTCTCTCTTTTTCCCTCTCTTCCCATACATTTCCGTCCACTTTTTTTCATTACTCAACTTGTTCCCCCAGAATGTAGTATACTAGGATCCTATTAGTCCGCTTTTCATATACTGTACTTCAAGTATAGGAAATGTGCACTGAGTATACTAAAAGTAAATGCAGGATTAATTTTACATAAAGGCCTCTTATGTAACGTTTCTCTATTTTTAAAAATATAATTGCAATAACTTCAGTCTTTTTACATTCTTCTGCTGCATCCATACAAAGCTCCACTGCTGTTGAGTGTCCTTTAACTGTGGACCACAGGCAACCCCTGCAGTGTTTATAAACAATTTAAAGACCATTCGGGCCACAGAATATAAGAATGCAATTTTGTAGGACTACAAAAAAGCCATTAATATGCCAGTCAAGACTACAGTTAAAATTACTCTTGCACTGCAACAGTGCATATGACCTTTATGTGATTGTACAGTATTAAAAGTTTTTATGTACAGTAAACTTTATCATATGGCAGAAGCCTCTATTGTGTTAAATAAATTAGTATCACATATATACATATATATGCACCTATATAATGTGTATATATATATAAAAAGGCGGCCATTGCTATTGCAATTCATTTAATAAAGCTTTAGTTAAAAAACAAAAAGTATTGTATACAGGAACTATGTATAGTGCAGGGGTTCTTTTCAGTTAGAAAAGGCAGGTTGCTTTAATGTTATTCTGACTTGCATTGTTTGCCAACAGAGAAATATTTTATACTTTTGTTATTAAAACATCCAGGGCGATTTAATATTTGTTCCTAGATGTAACTCATTTGAATAGGTTTTGCATTTGTTATTCAGCAGTGTATAAAGCTAACCTTGATAATTTTATTTCTAATTAATTATCTAAATGGAAAATGCTATTAGCTGAACCGCATCTACAACAGCACATAGAGCTCTAGAAGAGTTTAAACGTAGATCATTGAAGGTTGAAAATCCTCTTCCAAAGCAGTAAGGCAATCAGTACACCAACCATAGTTGGGGAGGGGTGGGAGCCCTTAAGAAATATTGATGTGGCCTTAATTACTGTCATACATTGTCCTAAAGAAGAAAATCTAATAACCATACTGGGCTCTCAACTTAACCCCCTTTTCTATTCATTTCTGTTTGGAGGAGTTATGTATTTTTTACTTAGTGCCAAGTGTATAGAAGGATGACAGCAAAAACAGTGCCTCTTTGTGCACAACCCTCTTAAAGTAGCATCCTTACCTGTTAGAAACATAGAATGAACTTTGTTTGTAATTCTTAAAATGTGGTAAGTAGGAAGCAAGGACTTATCCTGTGTTTTTACGCAGCCATGCACTTATTTTAATCTAATTCATTCCATGGCTAGGATTGATATAGGAATCAACCTATGTGATTTGCTTTAGGAGAAATTAAGAGGTATATTCTTAAGGTATATTATATTTTGATGCTAATTCTGTTCTGGGGAGCATCTTGTACTGTCACTGTTTTTGTACTAAATCTTCAAATATTGTCTACTGTGTAAGGCAGAAAAGTTTCTTATCATGCAAAAACCATTTTGTTTCCAGGGTAACAAGTACCTAAGTGCATGCACAACTTGTTTTCCCTTGTAACATTCATGATCTCATTCACAACTCCAATTTTAAAATGAAAAAAATCTTTACAACAAGCTATATTGGGACATACCAGATGTTACAGTGATTTTAGCTCTCAACAAACTGTTAACCATGTACAATATTTAAAATAGGCTTATTTTGATGTATTGCCTATTATACAAATACACAAAACACATTTTTTGGAGGCCTCAGTTATGAGTGGCAGAGCTTTCTGTGTATAATTTGTCTAAATAATTTGTCTAATAAAAATGTTTTCTAAACTTGCTCTCATACTATTGAAGTCTTAACTATAAGATTTGACAATGCTTACTCTCTCACAGATCGAACTGAATTTCTCTATAAATTTATCTTGAGTTAATTAAAGCATAAAATACATAAGTTTTACTAGCAGAACTATGCCAGTATGAGTGGATCTCTGAAAACAATACTAGGTGATGTCCTCAGCCAACAAAAGGCTGCCTTTCTGCTATTTGAGACTATGCGAACCAACAATAGATTTGTTTTCTGTGAGCACTTTTGGGGGAGATACTTATGCTGTTTAATTTAGATTAAAATCTCAGCTGTTCTAAAATTTTATCAAAACAATATTTTAAATGTTGGAACTAGAAAGAACTTTCGAGGTCTAGACTATCTCCCTCACACAGGACACTAAGATGCTGTGACAACAGCCAAATGTTTGACAACCTAAAACTTAAAATTGGGTGTTTCAGACCACATAGATCATCTGATTCAACTGCTCCTTTTACAGATGGGCAGTGAGCACCTCAGGTCACTTACCCAAGATCAGAGCTAGTGGCAGGACTAAGGCCAGTTCCTGCTTCTGTCTAGTGCTAGTTCCTTTAGCCCCCTGTTGGCCTTGGATCACAACCACCTAGACCAAACTTATATTCAAGTGCTTTATTTTACTCAGATGTCCAATTTATTCCACTGGTGAATCATTAAGATACCTAGTTGTCATTTTCACCACACCGGGGTTTGTGCTCAGGTTTTGGTTTAATCGTGCATACTTCAAAGTTGTAAGACCACCTTTCTTCCCCATACATAGTAAGCTACAGGCTACTTGTTGTGTTCTTATGTTATTTTTCTATCTCCTTCAGTTTGGGATTGGCTGTCAACTGAATAAATACTTTAAAAAATAGACTTTGCTGAATGGTACTTTGCTTCATTAAAAAGAAAAAAAGAGGAGAAGATTTATTCACCTTCTAAGCCACACAATTGGATGAAAAATTATAACTATTTTGTAACCAGAATTGTCTAATGGTGAAACACATTCTGGATTATGACTACAATAAATAAGCCAGAGCTGAGTGCTTACATGCTGGTAAACAGAGGTTTTATCCTTCAATATAAATCTCATGATGATTGACAAAATACTCACACCTTCTTATGAGGTAGCATATATGAGCTCCCTTGGGTAAAAATGACTTATCTGACACTGAAAAATCAGGAAACGAAGCTATTATTTATATTAGATTCAATTGATTTAATTCCATTCTGTTAGTGATTACAGAGAACCTCTTATGTGGAAGTCACTATGCTAAGCATCTACACATGGCAGAAATGAACATGTATGCTTAGGCATAGGTCTAGATGGGTTCCACCTCCCAGCTCTTCCCTTCCCCCATATTGACTTGCAGCATACAAAGGCCACCTTATTAACTTTCTGGCGTGGCAGAACGAGTCACCCCAAATGAGTACAGTCCTCCTTGGGACTGGACAATTCAACTGACTAGAGGAATCCACCCTCGTAGTTCTCAAGCACAGCTGAGTCTGTCTTTTAGGTTCAGATCACCTCCACAGGATGACTTGGAAATTTCCCAAGATGCCAGACCCTGAGGCCAAATTTTCAGAAATGTGAAAATTACCATAGGCCACAAACAAACTACTCTCTCACCCTTCATCCTTATCAATAGCTGCTTACTATTCAGAGACTGACTCCTACCCTGAGGTGTCCACGTCAGAATGATACAGACCACGGAAACTCATTTTCTATCTCTGCAGTCATGATAGTTACAGCTCTACAACATTTCAAACAACTTGGTTCAAAGGGACCTGGGTTCAAAGGGTCCTTGGTTCAAAGGGTCTTTTATGAATTAGTTCTCCTAACATGTAATAAAATAATATTCGTTTTGCAAAAATTTAAGTTATATAAACACTTTCAGGATCACAGCTATTTCCTGGAGCTAAGGGTACCTGTATCTATTTTATACTAGGTAAACAAGTATCTGGTAGTTAATAATAAATTTCTTTCCAGAATTATATTAAAGTTGACTTTACAATTAATGCTATTTCTCTACTAATATCTGTTTATAAAAGTTATCTATAACAATGATGCTAGAAATAAAAACACACTAAAATTAAGTTGAAAATAGAGGTTCCATATGTCCAGTGCATCTCATTTGACTTTTTCATGCTAGAAATAGTTTGAACAATTACGCACTTCTCTATGTACTATTAAAAAAGCTTTGACTATTAGTTGTTAGATGGATTTTAGCTCTGTTATATATCTAATCAACATAATTGACATTATATACCTGAAACAGAACTTCATTCACACATAGAGTTTTTTCATAAGGACAATACTTCTTTCCAAATCAACATTAAAAATAAGCAGTGCAGCAAAATATACACATAATTGGGACTCCCAGTTTCAATTTTGCATGACTAAGCATTTTAAAATTTGTTGCTCACTCACTCACATTTCTCCATAGAAATATCCATGGCAAAAATGATTGTAAACTGAATAACGTGTGAAAACACTTCTCACATGTACAGACTCCAAAGTTTTTGGTGTGTCCAACAGCTCAGTCACCAGCAATTAATGTTTTAAATTGATTCTTTCTGTTCATCATCATTAAATGAAGTTTTTGATTCTTACTCCATAGTAATGATTCTGTGTCTCTTTTTTTTACTAATACTAGTACATGTACATAAACTTTAGTAAGTCTGCAGGGGCAATATTAGAAACAAAACAATCACCTGAGATCAATCAGTCCATCAACAAATACTTTCTGAGCACCTATTATTAGCATGGCATCCTAGGGCGGAGTTTCCTAACTGGTGGGCCAACAGTGGTTTCAGTGTGCTGAGGTCTCGATCCCCGAATTTCTCAGGGTAGCAGGATGGGTCCCTGGGCTGGAATTCCACCTGTGAGCAGTTCTTACACCTGGCTTCTCCTCAGCAAATTTCCAAAGTTGGACAAACAAAATATAAACATTTGAAAAGTTAAATAACAACTCATTTAATAAATAATATCAGAAGACGTCAATATAAATTATATTATGATGAAGAATATATTTAATTGTCAAATTAGAGGTATAGAAAAAATATTCTATGAGAATAGAAAAAGA